TTATTATTATTATTATTATTATTATTATTATTATTATTATTATTATTATCATTATTATTATTATTATTATTATTATTATTATTGTAGTTGTTGTTATTGTATTATTACTACATATCATTCTTTTCTTTTTTTTTTTTTTTTATATATGTCATCGTCTTATTGTTACATATTATTATTATTATTATTATTACTTTTTTTTTTTTTTTTTAAGTACGCATTGTTTTTCATTAGTGTTATTATTCTTGTTATTCTATGTATGTACTAAAATGGAACGATTTTTATTTTTTTTTATTTTTTTATTTTTTTATTTTTATTTTTTGGTTGACTCATCTGGTCGATTCCTGGTTCCGGGAGTCAGATTGTCTAGGAGTAGCGGATTTATTGTAGTAGCAGTGACATTCTGGGTGTCCTAATCTTTTGCATGTCAAACAAATGTGGACATGCTTACAGTTGGCTTCCTCAGTGCAGCCTTTCTGGTTCCAGTTAAGGCAAATCTGCCTACCGTCGTGCCATGTGATGTCAGATTTGAGACCGCGAGGGGTGAAGGTACCGTGCTGTTTTTTGGTTGTAGTGATGTCGAGGTTTTCACTTTCGGCTTCAATATCTCTGTCAAATAAGGTAGAGTCGCGGTTGGTTGTGAGGTGGAGTCTGTGATCCTCGTTATAAGCTGCAATGGCCGAAAATTCGTACTTGATGCATAACATGTTAACGTGGTCCCGGTAAGCGTTTAGCTCTTTTTCTCTATCATTGTAAATAATAAGGATAGCCTCTATATAGGCTCTAAAAGCCAGGAGCTATTCAGAGATGTCTTTGAACCTGTGGGACCTATTGCGTTTTCTGATGACTATGACACTGCCCTCGGCGGTTTGTAATGTTTGCTCCTCTTCATTGTACTTCATGTTTGCCTTCAGGGTTTTGTGACTGAACTCGACAAGGTCAACAAAATTACCGACTGCGATAGCCTTCCATAGGTGTGGTGGTAAGTGCGGTTTATTGGGCAGCATCTCTAATGCTTTCTGACTGTCGGACTAGTTGAGGATCCACCACAGTCTGATTCTCTCAATGTGGGTGGCCTGGGCATTAGTAAAGCCAGAAACTGGAGGGAGGTTGGCATTGTTGTATTCAAAGAAAGGGAATTTTCGTGCAATTGCTTTAGTGTGCAACGTGCTGAGTGCTCGGGGGATGATGGTTGTGTCTGCGCTGGGCTGTGCGATTGGGAAGTTGATGATAAGGTTGTTGAGGAGAGGGGTTAGTGAACAATTACCTTGCTGCACAGCTGTGCTTTGGTCGGTCTGTTTCGTCTGTTGTAGGGTTGTAGCAGCATTAAACTCGTGGTTGTGTCTTGTAGATAATGAAGTTCCTTGTTGGTGGTCGAAAGGTTGTTGTTGAGATGATGTTGTACTAGATTCGTGTATATGTTTTGTTGTGGTGGGTTCGTCTTGTTGTAGCTCGAAATGTTGTTGCTGGGGTTTGTCTTGTTGAATATGATTAAAATATATGTCGATGCGTTGGTTTAGTCTATTGATTAATTCGTTTTGGATCGCTATATGATTTGATCGATGCAACAATCGAGTTTGCCGAGGATTGGCATGCCGCATCGATGTAAACCTTGGTGTTACTGTCGATCTGGAACGGATCGACAAGTGGTGTTGATGTGAGGTCGACTAATTCACTAGTAGGTTGGGAAGTGCTGGTATTTGCTGTATTATCTGTATTCATTATAGGTGATGATAGGAGAAGATTTGTATTATTATTGTTATTATTGCTTTGGATTCTATGCAAAAAATTAATTTCTTGCTGGAATTTCGGGTGAGAGTTATCATAGCCGATGTTTCGTGTATTTATATGAAAAGGAGTTGGTGGCTTGTTGTATATTTGCTTTATGCGCAGTCCTGTGGCTGCTGATCGTTAGTGATGCTGGGCCTTCGTATAATTGGTCTGATTTGTTGTACATGTGATTTTGTGGTTGTCGATCATCAGTGATGCCGGGCATGCATGTGTTTTTCATGCTTGGATGCTTGAAATGGCTCTGATTGTTATGTGCTTAACGGAGCTGGTTCATGTGTACTGATTGGGGTCGGTGCTGTAGTGTGTAATCGTGCCCGGCCTTATTTTTCGATCAGTTGACTCTAGTCAACTAGCATGATCAGCCTTATGAAAATCGAATGCATGATTTTGATTATTGCCCTTTTGTGTAATCTTTCACAAACCAGTATATAAGTAATCTAAACGCCTAAGCTCTTTTTGATCACATGCGCTCGATTTTGTTATACAAATGTTTTATATTTAAAATGTACATTTCTCTTGGCGACACTCATTTTTTTGATACATTAATGAGTTTAAGGATTAATTTTAATTTAACAACAATTGTGTAAGGTTAAATCGCAATAACTTAATTGCGCAAAATTGAAAATTAATTGTGTAAAATTGAAATTGCAACACAGAAAAATTGAATGAATTTATAAGTTTCGGTTTGAAGTTTAGCCTCATGACGATTAATAAAGTATCACAGTGATCGCGAAAAACGTAAACATACTTATGCAATTACATAAACCAATCGCCAAGAGTAACCCACGCAAATAGATGATCGGTAGTCCAAAATTTAATGGTGTTAATTAAACAATTTAACGTTAAAAAGATTTGCTGGTTTGTGTATCATTAGTACCATAAAGAGAAGAATGGGTTTCTAGAAAAACAATCCCATTTTAAGTTTCACAAGAAAATTATTTTTGTCTAGAAAAAAAAAAAACCAAGAGATTATTTTCATCTATTTTTTGCACATTTCGGGAAACTTCTTATATACTATCACTATTGTGGTATTATTAACTCTATTGCGTAAACTGCGTCAATTACGTCATTATCAAAAATAACAATCTTTTCTTAATTCATAATTACCAACTACGAATACCAAGCATTTTCCTTTTAATACTGTAATACGTATATAATAATATATATAATATATATATAATATATATATATAATATATATATATAGTATAATATATAGTGCATATTATAACAACTATAATTGGTAAACCCGGTCATCACCATTGCAGTTTAAGAATGGCAGGACTTACTGGCGATTATCATTCCATAATCAAGAATAGACCCATTGTTCGCGAATTGCAACGCCTTAAGCGTCACCTACCTATCAAAAAAAAAGATAACGATAATTCAATTTGAAATATTTTTTGTGTGCAGGTTAAATATATTGATTAAATATATACATGCTAATTGGTTCATAAGTAAATTATTTGTTAAACATGTGGCAGAAAAAAAATATATGTTGGATTTACGTCAAACCAATGAATCAGGTGAGAAATAACATTAATCGCTTATATCCGCATGGTAGGACATTACAAATCAAAACAGGAGGACTTATCTCCATATTAATTTACGAACATAAGGCCATCAAATTCACAGATCCAAGAAGGAATTCAAAAAATTAATCGTCGAAATAGAAAAAATTAACACTTAATAAACACCTAGAGAAAGTAAAGGATAGTAAAAGATGGCAAGAGATAGTAAAGAGCAGTGAATTTGTGCATTGTTGGAGAATAAGTCAGTGATACAAAAAGAGAACACTAATCAAAATATTCGATCTGTGTAAATATAGAGAATGCAGCTAAGATTATAATAGGATTTACATGTAGGATAGCCCGGATGACGATCGTAAAGTAAAATTCTAGATACGTACTTGGCTGCCAAGGATATGGGTTACGTTACAAAGCTTCATGAATTACTATTAATGGAAAAGGACTCAAATTATCTTTTATTCCTATTTTGACATATTTATGATGTATCTCGGTATTCGTCTAAAAATAGAAGATACGTCGTTCTCGTCGGATAAACGATCGGCTGAATAATGATGTATATGGGATAAATAAACAAGTTTCAATCAGCATGTGGACGTTAATTGGACTTTTCTGATTATGTACGTACTCCATTTTTCATAGTACGTATGGTATGGTGATCGAATACGAGATTAATTACGGGATTATGAATATCATCATTTAGTATAAATACCCAAGCCATTCAAACTACCCGAAATCAAGCACACGTATGTATATATTTTTCAACGGTAAAGAAAGCGGGAAAAAAAAATTCATATATATAAGATTGAAAAAAATAGATATATAATTGAAAAAACATATATATAAAAAAAAAAGAACAATATAACTAGTAAAAAAAATGTATCGACGAAATACACCATTAATTGTAATATTATCGCTTTCAATGCTTTTTTATGTTGCTTTCTTAACTACAAATGTACAATCCTCGTCGTGTGGTCCTAAAGGTGGTAATTTATCATGTCTTACTGGATACTGTTGTAGCAAGTAAGTTCTCCTTAACTTTAACCTTTACTTATTAATAATATTAACAATTTATTAACAATTTATTATTAATTATAGGGATGGCTTTTGTGGTATAAATGAAATATGTAAGTATTAATTAATAATTATAATAATTATAAATAATATTTTTTTTTAAAGCTTTTTTTTTCTTTTTTTATCAGTTTGCGGTCAGGATTGTGATCCCAATTATGGAGTCTGCGGGAAAGTAGTAACATCTTCAGATACCACATCTGTGATTCCCAGTCCAACGAAATTATCAGAAGCAAATGGACATAAAAAAAATTCTCTCGGAATATTGTTCTTAGTGGTGTTGGTTGCCGTTGTTCTTTTATAACTGCGTGTAGCTTATATAATTTATAATATTTTTTTAATTAATAATTGTAATTTGAATAATAATTAATTCTTTTATAAGAATTCATATGAAAAATTTTTTAATATAGAAATCAATCATACTGTACACTAATACAAAATCTATGACTTTTACACTTGTTTAAACGCTAGAACATTTTTTCTTTAATATCATTATTTACGTATGTACACATTTTATGAAACCCACTAATCAAAAAAGCCACTTTTTTAGAATTCTGCGGCTTTTCTTAAAGTTTTCAAAGCCACAAAAAAACTATTTTGGGATAATAAAAAAAATTTCCTATAAAAAAGTGTTTTTTAAAACGCGTTGCAAAATTTTTATTTCTATTTATTATCGTTATTATTTAGAATCCTCAATTAAAAATATGCATCGCTCATTATGTATGTATGTATGTATGCATAATGTTTACATTGCGAAAACAGTTCCATTTAAGTTCTCTGCATGTCATTATTTAATCGATATAAAAAGTGTACGTACGTACGTTCGTACTATATTTATGTCATATCGGTACAAACTAACCTATAAATCGCTTTGAACATATAATATATACATCGATATTCATTAATTATCCATACATCAGGCGTATACGTACGTACGTGGTGAATGTTTCAGGACTGACGTACACATATATGTAAGGAACGCAATGAACCATAATTGAATTAAACATTGTATAATATCCTAATTTATCTGAATTATATAATTAAAGAATCGAACCCTGCACAATAATTATCGTAATTGCTTATCTGTTTTAAGGAAATGATGATCTTTGAAACCTCATTTGATTAAATTATTATTGGTTTCCCTATTTTTACTAAGGTTTGAATGTCCCTTGTCAATTTATAAATTTACTTTCATAATTATAATTCAGGTTTGAATCTTGAATCAGTTTCAGTTTAGAATAATGCAAAAAAATTTTTCTATCAAACGCTTCTAATAGGGGTCCTTTGCAAAAAAGGTATGGCCCCGTGATTTCCGTGATTTCCGTGATAATGATCTCGGAGATTCTAAATTGTCTATATTCAATCAGTTTTATTATTTTTGAAATCTGAAATTTTTTTAGAAGCGAAAAATCGCTCAATCCTCCATGATTTTACATCTTTTTACAAACCACAATAAAGGAACCCAGATGCTGATTTTTCATAACAATACTATATTTAGTTATATAATGAGAATACTACCCTGGATTAATCTACAACATGGTCTCAATATTGTAGCCTTAGCAGGAGCGGCACGTAAATCAATTCTTTTTTCATTTCATCAGGAACGGTGTTTTTGCTTTATAAACAAATTATATATATTTAAATATATACAGTATTTTAAAATCTAAGGTATACTATATAGTTATTGCATGCTAAATATGATATTGTTCCAAATATTGAATGTTTAATGAATCTCTCTCTAATTTTCTTCGGAATACTTTAAAAGCTTCTGTTATATTTTATAAACTTGCCACCCTGTTCGAGTTCGCATCCTGCTATTAATTTCCCTGTTTTAATCAATACCTTCAAAGCAATATCCCTTACAATTTATCGTGTTTCTTAATCGAAATCGATTCCATTAACTAACACCTTGTTTAACAATTCTCCAACTCCAAGAGATCTTTCCAACAATCCCATCTTTAATTAATTCGTTATAACAACAAGTACGTATGATATAACTTTACAACGTTTGACTTTTTCAAATATCGCGAATGCCATGTAAAGATTGTTAAACTTTGTACAACATAATGCCTATACTTTTAAAAGTGTTGTACAGTTTGGATCTATAAATCATTCTAAATAATCAACTTGCCAAGCGAAATCCAAGTGTTCTACTAAAAATAGGTTATTATGAATTTCATAATGATTATTTTTAGAATTGCTGGTTTTCACTTGGCGACACTATTATAGTTGTAAGATTGTTTTACATTCAGTTGAATTATTTTATATTTTTACTTTTATAGCACTTTCAAATTGTTCATTAATCCATTTTCGTTACATTGGATGATGATACTTGGTAATTTGTTTTGCATTTGAATGAGTTTTTAATTCGTTTAAATGTTATTATAATAATGGTATTGAATCTAATGAATTCATGGTCTCTTTGTCAAGTTAATGTTGATCAAAGAAAGCTGAGTATATTTACAAAATTCTTCCTTTGCATTAAAGTATCACTTTTGCTGTGATGTAGATTTTGTTGCGGCAGCTATGGTTAATGGTATACTAGGTGCCACGCAGCCGCTTATTAACCTGAGCCAATTTTATCATACACGTTACTCTTGATATATCGACAATTTTTTTCATTAATAAAAAGAAATTCGAAATGTCGATACAGTAAGTTATATCAACGAAAAAAAATGCTGATATAGAAAGATTTTACTATATGGGATCTTTGCTAGGAAAATCACCCTTCGGTGTTTTCCGATCGGGCTAATTCGGAAAAGCTTAGACCAGAATGCCCAGTTCTTATTCGTAAATCTAGTGATTCTGGCCGAGCATGATGACCAAGCCGATAGATTCTATTGGCTTAGTCGGCTTGGCAGAACCTACTGTACTTTAATTTTGTTCTTTAATCGGAATTTTTCGGAATTTACAAAAATTTTTGATTCGTATTTAGGTTCATTCATTTTCTATATCGGAAATTTTCATAATATTTTTGACCATACCATATCGATCAGCTGATTTTAAAAAAATCGACCGGCTAAAGCCGATAATTTTCTTTAGCCAATCTTTTTCACTATTGGCCAAAATCACTATGTAAATCACCTTTTGCTTTATTTATTCGATAGTTTATTAAAATAAACAGTAAAGTAAAAAGATTAATAAGAACCGACATTCTGGTCTAAACTTTTCCGAATTAGCCCGATCGGAAAAATCCCGAAGGGTGATTTTTCCTAGCAAAGATCCCATATCAGATGTCGGTATAACCAGAGTGACGCGTAGTGCGGGCCTATTTTGTAGCTAAAAAATTAAAAGAATTAATTCCGGCCAAAATTAATAATTTTCAAAATCATCAGCCTAGGACATCTGAAAAATTTTTTGACGGCCGAACAAAGCACAAAATTCTAGTTTTAAAGCGGCCGGAAATTTTATAATATAAATATACTGTATTTAGGGTTGTTAACTTACATGTATTTTACCAATGTAAGTTACATTGTAACTTACGTAAATTACTTGTAACATATGTTTGCGTCATCAAATTTTTAGCCATTACAGTTGATATTAATGCTGGTAATCATCATGTGATTCGGCTAGCTTTAAAGCTGATTTGTAACTTACATATAGTCCAGGTAAGTTACAGTATAACTTACATGTAAATTACGTTGTCAATTATGGTTTAGCAACCCTAACTGTATTATTTTCACAGGAGTTTCTATATTTCGTTTACCGAAATTTTGTGCCCTGCGGCCGAATCGAGAAGTTGAATCAAGTAAAATTACCGTAATTTGTGTAATTTATGTAATTTGTGTAAGAAATCAGAATTTCACGTAATTTTGATATGAAATAACGCTAGCCAAAATTCATTGTACCTGATTAGGGTCCATATTGGGCCGGGCTAAACCCGCGGGTTTCAGGGTCGGGTCGGGTCTAAATTTTAAATTTTTGTTTGTAAAGCGGGCCGGGTCGGGTTTATTAAATGTTGGACCCGGGTCGGGTTTAGTAAACAGGCCCGGTACAGCCCAATAATACCTTCATAAACAGAGATTCGTTTGATTTGCTAATGTAAATCAATTGCCCGGGTAACTTTTTTATACACTTTAAGTATTTTTTGAGGCGTAAAATTACAAGCAAAAAATCGTCGCAAATATCATTTCTAGCTACAGAAGTGCTAGAAAGATATGAGTTTGGGTTCTTAGATAATTCTGTAGTTAGATTTAGTAAGTTCTGGTTGTTTTAGTAGTTGAACACCGCTTTTACTCCTCTTTACAAATATTCACTTCAGAAATATAGAAAAGGAGGATTTGCAACTGTATATTACGAAGTTGGAATGATAGAATTAATAATTCATGGAAAAATGTTGCACTTAAAGTGATTCGTAATTCAAACGCTATCTTATATATATATAATCAGTGTTATTACCGATTCATGTAATATTGTAAATAATTGTGTAATTAATTACGTATATATATGAATTTTATCGAATCTATATGCCAAAATACAAATTTTATCAAATCGGCTTAAAAATCATTCGAAAATAGCTGTAAATTAGATTTGAAAGTTATATACCGTATACTTCCTTTAAGCACCCCCTCGGAGCAATTTTTATAGCCAAAATTCTCGTGATCTAATAATCGGATCTACGTAATTTTGGTATCATTCGAATCAGCTTGCCAAAACGATTCGAATGGTACCAAAATTACACAGATCCGATTATTAGATCACGAGAATTTTGGCTATAAAAATTGCTCCGAGGGGGTGCTTAATTTCGG